ACTTTTTTTACAAATTGGTCGGAAATTTTGTTATTTCGACAATAGCCTGTGCTTTTGAATCGGCATTGTTCTACTCCTAAATTCTATTGTTATAATGTCTGAAGCGCAGCCAGCCAGAATTCTGTCTCTGCACACATCAGCAGTGTGGGGAAGAAAGAACTTAAAGCCTACGATTGACAAACTACAATAGCTCTCTTTTTTTTTAATTTATTTGTTTTTTATTTATATGTACACAGAGGTAGGGTCCCTAGGGAAACAGACTGATAAAGGCAAAGAAAAATAGTAAAAATAGAAGTAACCAGCTCATCTGCGCCAAGGTATGAAACAACAGTCGACATAGACTTAAGAGGCAAATAAGTAGGCTACCACCTTATAGTAAAGTTAAGGTTAAACAGAAGTATGCGTTCAAAATACAGGGTCAGTGGAACGTTGGGGCTTAAATCCAATTTATCATAAAAGGTCCTAGTTGGGTACGATGGGTATACCCGACTTGGCAACAAACATCGGATAATCGGGTAAGGGTATATTGTGTGGCGCGATATGCAATTGTCATTTAGAGCAAATATGCACAAGGCTGGTATACAATCGTGCTATTTTCCAAAATAATAATGAGGGTGAACTGACTATTTCTATGGTTATGAACGTGCAAGTCGGAAATCTTTTCAAGTAGAATGGATCTGTTGGAGATTCCGTTTGTAGCTTCGAAAAAGTCAGATCACAATTTCACTCCTACTTTCCACACATCATCAAAATGAGATGATTGGCATTCTTTTTCTGATTTTCTAAGCTCAAAAAAATCTATTTTCATGAGCTCAAAAGCTCATGAAAATAGGTTTTTTGGCGCCATTATATGCATGTATTTGAGTGACAGCCGAAAGAACATCTCGCCTCTTGCCCGGCTTCCTATTGGGTGCAAGCTCATTTCATTAAGAAGCGAAGGAGCGTAATTACCTTGAAATTAAGCAATAATCCGGAAAACTGTGGAGTTGGTCCAAGTGATCGAGAAAATGACAAAATATTTATATTTAGAAGTGAAAAAGCTGGCGATCTGCGTCATTAAGCTATGCTAGCAAATATTTCATATTAATTGTTATGAACCAGGCGAACAGATACCATTATAATAAACAGCCTATGAAATCGGTTAATTTCGACTTATTCCGAGTAAAACAAAGAGTTACAGAACGAATTTATAGGGAGGAGATAGAAAAGATTACGAAGCAGCAATCATATGTATAAGAGTACTTTAACCTTTGAGCGATACTGGAGCTTGAAATCATATTTTTGGAATCAAGCCGGAAATTTCTTCATTAATGCAAGTGTAACTTCCCAAAAATCTTTCAATAAAGTTGCAAAATTAATTCCGCGAGAGATATCTTACCTGGAATTCTTCGTCAAATGTGTTACCTTAATAATACGCTCAGTGAAACAGTAGTTGTTTGAACTTTTGATAATGTAGATTCCTTGTAAAGTGACTTATTATCAAAAAGTTAGTTGATCGTGATTGAAGTAAACTATTTTATTCTCCTAGACATCGCAATGTAAGGATAACGGTAAGAGCTTCAATGACCGATAGTTTGCATTTCAGTCTGCAGCACAATGTTTCTCAACGGAAAGGAAGAACCTCTAGACGATAAACTGCGCTCCGATTTTAACACCGCCTATTTAGAACTTGGGGGCATGGGAGAACGTGTACTTGGGTACGTGGTCCATATTTTCCCTAAAGCTTTCTTTTTTTTTTCGAAGAACTTCTGTATGAACCCCAATTTTGCAGGTTCTGCGATTTCCTTCTCCCAGCCGACAAGTATCCCAAAGGCTACGAGTTCGACATAGAAAGGATAAATTTCCCACTGAAAGGACTACGCTTCGTCGGGTTGATGTCGATGATTGATCCACCGCGTGCGGCTGTGCCAGATGCTGTCGGAAAATGTAGATCTGCTGGGATCAAAGTCGTTATGGTCACTGGAGATCACCCGATTACTGCGAAGGCTATCGCGAAATCTGTGGGAATTATCAGTGAAGGAGCTGAGACTGTAGAAGATATTGCAATTCGTCGTGGTATTCCCGTTGAGGACGTTGATCCATGTGAAGCAAAGGCAGCTGTAGTGCATGGTTCAGATTTAAGGGAGATGAGTGAGGATCAGTTGGCAGAGGTAGAGAATTTTGGAAGTTTATAGAAGTTGAAATTTCAATTTGGCAATCTTGTAGATTCTTGGATCTTAGAATTGCAGGAAAGAGCCTTTGAAATCTCAGGATCTTCCATATTCTAGACTTCAACTATTTAATTACTCCAGTTCATTATCCATATTCCTGAGTTCTAAAACCTAGGCTGTGCAAACCATCGGCATGCAGCAAAAAATCATCCAAAATTTCATGCAAGCTGCAAAAATCCTTTACACTTATACTTCTTCCGTTCGCTACCAAATTCCCTTTAGGAAATACGCGACGCGCCGCGTAGCGTTGCGGCGCGTTCTTGGCCAAGTTGTTTAAACAACTGATGTTTCGGCTTATGCCTTAAGCAAAAAAAGAAGAACAATGAGTATTCGATATAAAATGCACCCAACCTTTAATTTGATATACACTTGGATCTAATGGGAGCATAAGCCCATGTCCTCGCGCAATCAAAACCGTATCGTATATGCTCTTGAAACAACAGCTCATGATCACCAATCTCTGTCCATCACAATGGTATGAGAATAGTTCTCGTTGAGAATCTTTTTTTTTTCATTTTAACACCAACTCTTAATGATCATAACATACTCGTAGCCTGCTCAGTAGCCTTAGTAGAATTCCATCTCGCCTCTATACCCAAAAATCTAATATTTAGCTATGAGAGAATTACAAAAGAAATTATAATCCTCCCTAGGTTATCCGTAACCACTCGGAGATTGTATTTGCTCGGACATCACCACAGCAGAAGTTAATGATCGTAGAAGGTTTCCAACGACAAGGACAGATTGTAGCTGTGACGGGCGACGGTGTTAACGACTCGCCTGCTTTGAAGAAGGCTGACATTGGTTGGTTTGAGTTTTAAGAGGACTGGCAGAGTCTGTATTGCCTTGACTTTTCCATGCGAAATTATTTGTTGAGTTGTCGTATAATCTTGTCGTTCTTTTCGAACTCACAAAAAAAACTTGGAAGATCGAAATTTCTGCAAGAATGTACACATTTTTGGAAGCGCAGTGTTTCTCTATAAGATGTTCCTTTGACTTGTCCACTAATTTGGTTTTTCTATACTTAAAGGTGGTTAAAGAAGGAAATCCAGAAAGCAGAAGAATGCTCAGCATATTTTTTTAGAATGTAAGAAGCTTGAAAAAAAAACTTTATAACGCTATTTGTCAGAGTAATTTGATACGCTGATTGCA